CCCGCCGGCAGGGCACGCACGTGCGGGGCGGGAGGCAGCCAGTCATGCGTCTCTCTCAGTCGGTATTTCTCTCTCCTCCCTCCCTTTCTCTCTGAAAAGCAATGGAAAAAATCCTGGGACAGGGACTGAAGAAAAGCAAACACACAACAAAAAAACTGGAAGACAAAATGAAGATATTTTTTACAAAAAAGGAAGCAAAAAGAAAAAGTGTTACCAGGTGTAAAACATGCAGGATGATTCCTTCTCTTAAAGAACCGTGAACTCCCCCCGGAGATGCGGGGCTGGCCCAGGCCTCCCGTTCCCAGCTAAACACTCACTGAGATCAGGGAGACTCCACAAGATCGTGAAGAACCACCAGAGGCCAGGACCCCTAACGAGGGACCCAGGGGGAAGTGGGTCCTGATGCCACCTTTGCCCCGAGGGCACCGGCTGAGCCCCTGACACGGCGCTCTGCTGACCATATGTTGTCCGGGGACAGAGGTCAAGGCCCGAGCCTGCCAGGTGGGCAGTCTAACGGGATGCCCGCTCCCCAGGCAGGGGGGGCGCCACCGGGCCTCTCCCCGTAAGAGTGAGTAAGGAGCGAGCCCCACCTGCCCACCTCCCCGGGGCGGGGAGGAGAGTTGCCCCAGTGGACAGAGGACAGCTGAGCTGCCACCACAAGCTGATGCTTCCGTGAGTGTATGGCAGCCGGTGGTTAAAAACCCTCAGCCTTGAATTTAGAGTGAAGCGGCTCCAAACTGGCAGCGCCCTTGGGGTCTGCCCCAAAGCACCTGCCAGGGCTTCCTGGCTGCGCACCCCGGCCTAGTCCTCTGAGAAGCCCACGAACTATTTTCTAAGCAATGCAGCCGCTCACAGTAAAGCCAGACTGTAAAGTTTATAGAGAGGGCAAAAACTCAGACTAGCCTGCACGATATTCAACAACAAAGTGGAGGACTGATACTCCTCAACTTAAAAACTTACAAAGCTACAGTCGTCAAGACAGTGCACAGTATTGGCAAAAGAATAAAATAATAGATAAATGGAACAGAATAGAGAGCCCAGAAACAGACCTCCATAAATATAACAGTCAACTAATCTTTGACCAAGGAGCAAAGGCAACACAGTGGAGCAAAACTAGTCTCCTCAGTAAACTGTGGTGGAACTACAGGCCATCCACATGCAAAAACAAAATAAAAATCTAGACACAGACCTTACAGCATTTCCAGAAGTTAACTCAAAACTGATCACTTACCTAAAGATAAAATGCAAAACTATAAAACTCCTAGAAGATAACATAGGAGAAAACCTTGGGAATGGTGATATTTTAGATACAACACCAAAGGCAAGGGCTATGAGAGAAATAATTGACAAGCTGGACTTCATTAAAATGAAAAACTTCTGCTCTGTAAAAGATAATTTCAGGGAAGTGACAAGCCAAGCCATAGATTGGGAGAAAATATTTGTAAAGACATCTTATATGACTATTATCCCCCAAATACAAAGAACTCATAAAACTCAGCAATAAGAAAACGATCGAGGTGATGGGGGCCGTTGATAATGGGCGGCTCTGCATGAGTGGGGCCATGGCTACATGGGAAATCTCTGTGCTTTCCACTCAGTTTTGCTGTAAGCTTAAAACTGCTCCTGAAAAGAAAGTATATTTAAAAGAAAAAGAAAAAAAGATACCACGAATAGAGTAAGAAGACAAGCCCAAGAATGGACCAAGTTTTACAACCCTGGTTGCGCCACTTGCTTAGCAACTTTGTGATCTTGGGCAAATTATTCAATCTCTTTGAACCTCAGTACGTTGGGAATAACAGGATTTACCGTCGTTGCTCTGAATATCGGAGAGAAGGTAATGCATAGCAGCGCACAGCACAGGGTAGGCACGCAACACTCAGCACGCCCACTGGTGAGGGAGTTGTGTGTCTTCCTTCATCGCAGGCAGGGTCCGGGACCACAAGAGTTCACACAATCATGACCTTCCCCCAAACACCAGCCCATCCCGTCTGGACGAAGGAGACCCTGCTCCATCTGCTCTTCCGTTTCCACCCACGCAGCTCCCCAGCACGAGGCAAGGACGGCTCTGGCTGGAGAGGGTCTGGAGCCATCTGTGGACCTGGCGCACCGGCTGCCCTTCCATCCCGCCAACTCCCACCTGCCCGCCCATCCACGTGCCACCTTTATGGTGCTGTTTGGCTGATGGGCTTGCGCGCCAGAGGCCGAAGTCACGTGGATGATGAAGTCTGCCCGTGACTCAGGAGCACCACAAGCCATGGATGGTCACGAGGTGCTCGTTTCTTATTAATAAAGATGAAAAAAATGGCTCTGCAAAAATAGCATAGGAGGCGCCACTGAAAGAATGGTGCAAAGACACCTCTGGTCGCCCAGTGTCATCGCAGTGATGACGGTTTTTCTGGGGTCTGAAAACCAGCTCCAAACTGCTTGCAGTGACTGGGCTTCCCATCCACAATCCCTCACAAAGTAGATTCAGATCTTTACCTGGCTGATGCTGCTGGAGGTTAATTATGACCGTAAATATTCGTGATAGTCGTAATACCCTTGAATCTCTGTAACTTTCAGGTGTATCTGAAATGGAAACCACTAAGCTGGGAAATATGAGTGGATTTCAAAGGCTGAAAACAGCTCCCCACTTTTCAGTAGGAATTCCATTCCATACCTGTGGGAACAAGCCCGTGTTTGAAAATCCCTACAAAACTCCATTAGCTGTCTTTGAATATACAAACGCCCAACTGCTTGTGTTATGCAAGACATAAATATAGCTCCTGTCCAGGTATTTTTGTAATGATAATTCCAGCATATGTATTTGTATCACAAAGATAGTTTGCATTGGTTCAAAATAGATTTTGCCATCTGGATGGTAAGAGTCTGGAAATCATGACAAGTAGAAGAAAAGTTGAAAGAATTGGGATGGTCATTCTAAGGAAGGTTTGAGGAATAATGAGAGCTTTGTCCAAAATTCTTTAAGGGACATCACTGCTTATGGGGGTGGGCTTTGTCCCGAGGGCCCTCAGGGGCGGAGCCAGCATCTTCAGTTAGGAATCAGAGGCTTGCTAGCACCAGGAAACACTCAGAATGGGATGGATAGTCTCTCAAGAGGGTGGGTCCTGGTGGGAAAGAAGCTTAAGCAAAGGCCAGAAGGTGGCCTATGATCAGGAGGGTGAAGAGGAGACATGATGGAGCCTCTTGGCTCAGGCAGCCTTGAGAGATTTGGAACCCATGAGGTGACATGTGGCTCATCAAAGGCACCCAGGCTCAGCGCTTGTCCCAACATGACATGGTCTCACAACTTTCGAACATTCTACACCGCTCCCCCTCATTTGCCCCATCTGTGCACTGGGGATACAGCTCTTGTGGGTTAAACGTGTTGACACGGGCAAAGCGCCTGACACACAGCGAGGGCTCAGGAAATGTCGTCAGCTGCTGTGTCGACACCACCACGCTCATTACCACAAGAAAGCAGGACCTAGATGTACACAGATTTGTTTTCAGGGCTCAAGAGCCTTGCAAATCAAGAGTCTAAGTTTGGGGAATTAACACTCATGGTATGAATCACTTTAAAACTTTAAATAATTGCATCTCTTTGGGAGGTGTGCCTCGCTGCAATGACAGTGAAGAGGACATGACAGAGCCAAAGACGGCCTGGGAGGTGGTACCTTTGGTCTGTCCGCTCCCGGCTGCTGTCCAAGGTACTTGCCGCAGACTTGGATGCTCTCGGGCCACCTGTGATTACTTCTCCCACCTGAAATAAAAATACAACCCACACTAAGTGGTATATTATGCTTTGATGTGCCTTTAAAAATATTGTGTGTATATATATAAATATAAATATATATATATATATATATATATATATA